AGTATCTTAGCTTTCTTTTGCCACAGTCGTTCTATTTCTGTTTGCAGGTCTTTATATTTTGTTATTTTCTCCAGTTCTTTCTCTTCTATTCTGCTGTCTCCAGGTATAGCAATGTCCACTATCCAGACTTTTTTGTCTTTCTTATCAACAATTGTTACGTCTGGAATGTTGTGTGGCAGGTGCTTGACTGTTTGAATTCTGAAGTCCCAGAGAACGTTATCTTCTTCATTTTCTATTACTTTGTCTGTTTTGTGGTCCCACCAGTTCTTGCTTGCAGGCAAATGGTATTTCTTGCAGGGGAAAAAAAAAATCACATTTGCCTGCAAACAAGAACTGGTTAATCCCTCACTGGGGGATGATGATGATGATGATGATGATGGTGATGATGATGATATCATTTTTGTATCAGAATTACACGTGCTTGGATTTGTGTCTCTCTTACTGAGTTGTTACTTACAATATGCTGGTGCTCTGTTTTAGAATAATGGAGTTCTAGGACATTGTGCTTCTAAAAATATTTTAAGCAATCATTGTGCAATTATTGAGCTTATTCACAGGGAAGAAATCATATTTTCTTAACAATGGGATGGAAGAAACCGTTGTTGGGAGTGCAACCTTGGGAATTCTATAGTATATGCAATATGCATGTGTTCCATAATTAAAACACTAATTTTGCAGATTCCTATACAGAAAAATTATTACATTAAAGTTTTGTTAACATAGGAGTTTTAAATATAAAATATATTTTTGCATCTGCAGTGTGTAGCTTGACAATTGGTTTTTCATTGAGATGTTGAGCGTTTCTAGATGAGATTTCCTCGTGCAACTACCCTCTCTCAAACAAGGAGTCCTCAACTTTTAACTTTTTTCATTTTTTCTATTGCTTTTCCACACCTTTTAACAAATGAACAATATCTGTTAGAGAGGGAAAACAAGGTCTTTTTTAACTAAAACATCCCTTTAGAAGCATATCTGTACAAGGACCAACATGTGCCACAGAATTCTTTGCTCATTCCAAATATCAGCTGCTTTAAATAGGCATTTTTGAAAGAGGAAAGACATGTAAACATTCAACAATTTCTAGGAGTCACCATCTGAAAAATGTGCAAACAGCAGCATCAAAAAGAGAGAGTTTACTGTATCAGCAGTCCAGAAACAGACAAGCTCAAAACAAAAACATGTTTAAATTCTTCTTTTTATTAGGTGCGTCCTGGTAGAAAACACCTCGCTAGTTTGAACATTACTGGGCAGAAGTTGCCTGTTCTTGCAAATAAAGAAATAGAGAGTAGAACAAAAAAGAATGCTAATGGCTGGAGACTGGCATCGTTTCAAAGGGCCTTTCTAATAATAGTCATTTGACGATCTACAAGTAGAAAATGAAAACTCTTGGTCTGCAGATTTCAGCTAAATAGACCATAGATTTTTCTTCTCCCTACTACCAACCTGCCAAATTGTCAGTGCCACCTGCATCTCATGACAAATGGTTGACAAGTGTAATCATACAAAGCTGCCAAATTGTGAGTTCAGTTATACCTCCATGGAATTGCCAGTGGTGACATGAGGATGGATTTGCACATCCACTCTAAGCTGGGTCTCACAGGGTCCACTGTAACAGTTAATATTTTACTTATTTATTTACAGGGTGTATAAGCCACTGCAGTCAAAGCCGACTTTGATCCCAACTGTTTTAAGCTGGCTTATAAAAATACAGGCCACATTACAACACACTAGCAACCACTGTAATTCATAAAAAAAAATAACAGTATAGCACAGCAGATAGCACCAGGAATTTAGTTCTTTCAATAATCGCCAAACAAAAGACAGCTAATTCTAGAGACAGCAAGTCATTCTATTCCAGCTCCCAAGGCCTGATGAAATAGCCAGGTTTTGATGAACTTTCTAAAAACCCGGAGGAAGGAGATGTAATGGCCTGTGGGATTATTCTTGAGAGACAGGAGGAGGAAGAGCCACAGCCAGGGCAATGGTCAGATAAGAACCATCTCAGCCTACAGAAGGAATGGGGACATGGAAGAGCATCTCTGCAGGGACCCTCCCTAGTTCCCTGGAAAATAAAGGCAAGGTGGTGGC